GTTCCATTTTGTCTAGGGTGCTGGCAGTTTTAGGGGCCTCCCATTGCTGCTGCCGGGCCCCTAACTGAAAAGGGCCCCCTTTACCCCCCCCTCTTGCTGCTGCCGGGTTTCCACAGTGTTCATCCCAATGTGCCACTTTCAGGTTCCTCCACTGCTGGGGGGTTCCCAAAATTTTGTCATAGGTTTTGTGGCAATTAGGGGCCTCACATTGCTGCGGCCCGGCCCTAATCTGCCCATGGGCCCCGTGTTCGCATCCTCACGCTGCTGCAGGTCCACAGTGTGTCATGCCATGTGCCAGCTTTCAGGTCTCCTCACTGCTGGTGTGTTTCATTTTGTCATAGGATGCTGGCCAGATTACGTGCATCACATTGCTGCGGGCCAGGCCCCAAATCTTGCCATCGGGCCCACGGACCACCATCGTCTGTACGCTGATGCTGAGTCCACAGGTGGTGTCATGGGTCCCTGGTACCGCCTCCCAATTGCTGCTGTTTTCCATCGCCACACTCTGCCATGTGCCACATTTCAGGTCTCCTCACACTCCTGCTGGTTTCCATTTTGTCATAGATTGCTGGCAGATTACAGGCCTCCCATAGGTGACTGCCAGGCCCCAAAATCTGCCCATGGGCCCAGTCAGCTGTCTAGAGAGGGACAGACCTTAGAGTTCACGCTTGCTGCTGGGTCCACAGTGTGACAGATGGGTCCCTGTACCGCCTCCCATTGCTTGCTGTTTCCATCACAACACACTCTTGCCATGTGCCACTTTCTGGTCTCCTCACACTCCTGCTGGTTTTCCATTTTGTCATAGGTTGCTGGCAAGATTACAGGCCTCCCATTGGTGTTGCCAGGCCCCTAATCTGCCATTGGGCCCACCGTAAGCCCTGGTACACGCTGCTGCTGGGTCCACAGTGGGACATGGGTCCCTGTACTCCGCCTCCCATTGCTCCCCCTCTGCCATGTGCCACTGTTACAGAGGTCTCCTCATCACTCCTGCTGGTTTACCATTTTGTCATAGGTTGCTGTTGGCCTCCCATTCGCTGCTGCCTCCAGTCCACCGCCACACTGTGGGCTCCAAACTCTGGTTTTGGCCCCGTGACTGCCAAATGAGTGAAGTGTGCGGGTGATTCTAAGATCGCGACGGCACTCATCTGCATGTCATACTGACTGACAGTATTATTTCTCTTCCCCAGCAGACTCCAAGGGCATTTAAATTAAAGGTACAGTTTTCTGCACTAATATAAAGGCTCTCTGAAGCCTAGAAACACCCTTTTTTTAAGTTAAATTCACAGCGAATATATTAGACTCGAATCGAATATTTTCCACGAATTCGCCGAATCAGTCGAATCGAATTTTTGAATACTTCGCTCATCTCTAATGATGACAAATCACGGCTTGAACTATCTTGCTTTGCATGTAATGATGTCTCATATATTAGTTTCACCTTTTAAGTTGCTGCACTGTAAATAAATGAATGAATGCACCAGATTCTCATTGTTCGAGTTTCACCCTGTAGTTTTGTGTTAACAACCACTTGTAACAACTTTGTTTCATGAATTCAGTTTCTATTCTATAGAAACGGAACTGCCATATATGGTGGTCTTTAGTCATTTTGGGTTGTTATTCTCTCTGTATACGAGTGCAATATATCATTTGGTCATTACAATATATCATTGGTCTTTTACAATATTTCATTTGGTCATTACAATATATCATTGGTCATTACAATATTACATTGGTCATTCTGAATTTGTTAAAAACTGCTAGCATGCATTAAACTTCAACTTTCAGAGATTATTAGTTTGCACACTTCGGTGTCTGGAGCTTTATTTCTCCTGAGCTCAGAGGCTAGAAAATTACCGAAGAACATTTAAGGGCTACAGACATAGGTTGAATCCTAGCAACGCCTGTGCTAAAAATCAACATTTTTGCTGCCAGCTGAACCCCAGAACCTCCATAAATCCAGTCTAGATTACATAAATTGTGTCTGCAGCACAGAGAAGGAAGGATTATCCGAGAGAAATCCAGGAATACAGGGACGGGGAACACAGCTCAGGAAAGTGACCAGGGGATTACAGGCTGATATTCACCCAGTCCCCGCCCTACTCTGGACCAATCAGTGAGCAGTATGGGTGGAGGAATGGATTTAGTGTTCATGACCCACCTGTGCTGATCTCTGTAGGAGTGTCCTCCTCTTAATAAATGTCCCCGTTATTCCATCCTCCTCCATAGACTGCTGATCATATCCCTCACATACGCCTCATCTTCTTCTTCTGCTTTCACCTCAACTTTTATATCTATCAGATCTTCAACCTAAACCAAGAAAAGTAGAGAAAATATCATCTGTAAGACATAGCGTTAATATTGTTACATTCACATAAAAAATCCACACATTGTCTCTAGGAGTCCATGCTCTGGATGCTCCATCCCACCAACCTTGTAACAATGAGGGATGGTGTGACCTTCCTGTGTGGAATCACAGGAATACAGAGGGACGGGGACATCTCTCTGGTGGGTTCCTGGTATTAGGTGGCTCCAATCAATTATCCTTGTGTCCTTCTGAAAACTCCTCCATCACTCCATACTCCTCATCCTCCTCTTTATACTCTTCTTTAACATCAATATTATCATCCCCGAGGATTCCACTCTGAAAGATATAATAAAACATTTCATTGTACAAACATACATGCTGTGTATAAATCACAACTACCAATAATTGTCATCTTCTACCTGATGATGGTGAGGGATGGTGTGACCTTCCTGTGTGGAATCCCGGGAATACAGAGGCAACGGGGACAATCTCTCTGGTGGGTTTCCTGTAGCTGGATGACTCCACCATGGTGTCCTGGTACAGATTCCTTGTGTTCTTTTAGAAGCTCTGACTCCTCCATTCCCCCATCCTCATCCTCCTCCTCTTTTATCTCTTCTTTAAACCTCAACTTTAAGATCTCTCAGGTTTCCACTCTGAATATATATAATAAAAAAGACATCATTGGTAACAATGCAGATAATGTACAGATCTTAATGATACTATCAGTGATTGTTCCTCATCTACCTGATGATGGTGAGGGATGGTGTTGACCTTCCTGTTGTGGAATCCCGGGAATACAGAGGACGGGGACATCTCTCTGGTGGGTTCCCATGACTGGATCCATCTGTAGGAAACACACACACTGACTGAAATCCATTGTTTCTATGTGTTTATCAGATGATGGGGGATCTAGGTGGATCCTCCGTACTGCTCTCCTCCTTTACAATAAAGTCTCCTCTCTACCCGGTGATGTGAGGGGCGGCTGATTGTCCATCATGACGTCCTTGTAGAGATCCTTGTGTCCTTTCTAAATACTCCCACTCCTCCATGGAGAAATAGATACAGTGACACCCTGACACCTTATAGGAACCTGACACACTCACAATGATACAGTCACCATCCAGACACATCCCTTGTCTGTTACTGGAGAAATGTCCCAAGAATTCCCGGCACCGCTCACCTCTCCTGTCAGCAGCTCAGTGATCTCTCTCTGGTGACTTCTAGAATCTTCTTCTTCTTTTCTCTCTTCTATCAGGGAGGGGAGGTGGAGGCAATGTGATGTCATATGATCGTCCAGACTTCACAGGAGGAAAACTCTACATCTGAACACAAATAGTCACATCAAATGATAATTCCCAGATTCCTCCTCACCTCTCCATTCAGGTCTCCATTTTATTAAAGCCCCACTTCAGGCTGAGGTATATAGCACATCCAAGAGACCAAGCCGGGGTCACTACACAGAAAAAATCAATCCAAGGAAACAACAGGCAGGACGAGGAATAGCAAGAAGGAGCTGAGAGACAAATGAGAATATTGCTCAGGCAATGGGAGATGATCTCAGCAGGACTTCCATCATGAAGGAGATGAGGGGGGGAGGGGAGGAAGTCACTGAAGGTGACCATAGATCCATGGAAAAATTCAGCTGGTTCAGCAGGGATCGCTCACATTTCCATCCATGTATGGCCACTGCCAGATAAAAGCCACTCCCCCAGCGGCTGCAGCCAATAGCTTCAGTGCTGATCTGTGTATTCTGAGAGTGGAGGAGCCCCCCATTGTCAGAATCCAATGTGTGGATGGGGGAATCACTTCAGTTTTTATGGTCTATTCCCGCTGGCTGAATGATAAAATCTGAACCTTGTAGGCCAGCTTTGGGAGCAAATATATTAATCATGATTATTTTATATTATTATTATACAGGATTTATGGCGCCAACAGTTTGCTCAGCACTTTTACAATATATCAGGAGACAATAACAGCAACAATACATTTCAATACAAGAGGGTTAGGGAGGGCCTGATCTACTGGGAGCTTACAATCTAGGAGGGAGGGCTGGCGTAACAAAAGGTAATAACTGTGAGGGGGGATGGACTGGTAGGAGGAATAGAAGATTCCGTTATTGTGGCTGAAAGGCAGGATAGGCTTCCTTGAAGAGATAGGTTTTCAGGGATCGCCTAAAAGGGAACATAATAAGTGATAGTCAGATTATATTGGGATAGAGAATTCCAGAGGATTGGGAAGGCTCTGGAGAAGTCTTGGAGTGTCACTGGATTTTCATTTGTGACTTCACTCATATTTGATTTAATTTTTTTTTTTATTGCTATTTATATAGCAGTATTAGTCCCAAGTTTGGGGACTGGAGCACGGCAATTTACACTTTGGTACATGTGGGAACTTGTTCAGTGGTGGTCACACATTTATGTTTGAAGGATTCATTATAGTCCTTTATAGATTGTCTTATAGTCAGGGATAATTTTATCCTGACCATTCTATTGGTTGTTTCTATAGGCACAATAGTGCCATTTGTCAGTCTATTTCCACTGCACCTTTGGGCATTCACTTATGCCAAGTGTTTTTATCACGTGTGGTTTAGTACCGGTTTGTGATTTCACCCTGTTTAGGGACACAAGTGAGGGTTTATGTATTGGTTTTTATGTGTTTTGCACATTTATATTTTATTTCATATGGTTTATCAAACATCACTGTATAAGATTGTATAATAATATGAAGAATTGGGTTTTGTGATAATTACACTCAGGAGGATTCACTAGGGGTGTCACTGAAACCTCATTTTGATGTAATTATTTATATAAGTGCAAAGTGTGGGCAACGCAGCACCAATTGTATCATAATTTTCTTGCCAATATGTCACTTAGTATTATTAACTATTATTATACAGTATTATATAGCGCTAAAAGGTTTGCTCCGTGCTGTACATTATAGTGGTGGGAGTAATGTGAGTAGGTTAGTAATGCAAGAGGAGACTGAAGGGGTGAGGTGAGGGAGGAGACTGAAGGGGTGAGGTGAAGAGGAGACTGAGGGGTGAGGTGAGGGTAGAAAAGATAGATTTGTGTGTCATCAGCATAGAGATGGTACTTAAAGCCATGGGAGTTTATCAAGTGACCAAGGGTGGAGGTATAGATGGAGAAGAGGGAAGGGGTCCCAAGTACCAGAACCTTGAGGGACCCCTACAGAAAGAGGGAGTGGGAGAGGAGGATATATATATATGAGGGGGGGAGTTATAGGTTATGCAAAGGAGAGGCTGCAATAGGTAGGAGGAGAACCAGGAGAGAGCAGAGTCTTGGAGGCCAAGAGAGGAGTTTTTTGAGGAGGAGGAGATGGTCAACAGTATCAAAGGCCATGGAGAGGTCAAGTAGTAAGAGTATGGAGTAGTGGCCATTGGTTGGGATGAGTATGGAGTAGTGGCCATTGGTTTGGATGAGTATGGAGTAGTGGCCATTGGTTGGGATGAGTATGGGAGTAATGACCATTGGTTGGGATGATAGTATGGAGTAGTGGCCATTGGTTGGGATGAGTATGGGAGTAGTGGCCATTGGTTGGGATTAGTATGGAGTAGTGACCATAGGTTGGGATGAGTATGGAGTATAGTGGCCATTGGTTGGGAGTAGTATGGAGTAGATGGCCATTGGTTGGGATGAGTACGGTAGTAGTGGCCATTGGTTGGGGATGAGTACGGAGTAGTGGCCATTGGGTTTAGTTGGGATTAGTACGGAGTAGCAACTATTGGTTGGGATGAGTACGGAGTAGTAGCCATGAGGGTTGGGATTAGTGTATGGAGTAGTAGACCATTGGTTGGGATGAGTACACAGTGGGAGTGACCATTGGTTGGGATTAGTATGGAGTAGTGGTCATTGGGTTGGGATGAGTACGGAGTAGTGACCATTGGATTGGGATGAGTATGGAATAGTGGCCATTGGTTGGGATGAGTATGGAGTAGTGGCCAATGGTTGGGGATGAGTATGGAGTAGTGGCCATTGGTTTTAGCAGTTAGTAAATCATTAGTGAGTTTTAGTAGGGCAGTTTCAGTGGAGTGAGCGAAATCCAGACTGTAAAGGGTGAAGAAGGTTGTTGTCGGTGAGGTAGGAGCTCAGGCGATTGTAGACTAAGCGTTCTAAGAATTTAGAGGTAAACAGGAGCAGGGAGATGGGTCTTAATTGTTCAAGTTGGTGGGGTCCAGGGAGGGCTTGTTAAGTATGGGAGTGATGTGCGCATGCTTTATAGGGGTGGGGAAGGCACCAGTAGAGAGGGAAAGATTGAAGATGTGAGTGAGGGAGCATAGGATGGAAAGGAGGGTGACCGTAGTAGTTGTGAGGGGACAGGATCCAAGGGGGCAGGTAGTGAGATGGGCTCAATTTCTGAGAAAACCTTAGTGACCTCTTCAGCAGTAGCGAGGTCAGAAGAGGAAAGTGTTGAGGGAGGTTTAGTATAAGGTATGCTAAGTGGGATGGATGTCTGTGCAGTGGAGATGCCCCTATGAATTGCAATTCAATCTTGTTTTTGAAATGATTTGCAATCTTGTGAGTGAGGTACTGGGTGGGGGTGGAGGTGGAGAAAGTAGAGAGAGAAAAGTAGAGAAGAGACGACGAGGACTGGATGACAAGGTATTAATAGATGAGAGTGACAAAGTCGCCTTGTTTGGCAGCATGGAGGGAGGAAATTTGTATGTGAAGAAAGCAGATTTATATCGGGTGAATGCTTGCTGGGATTTGGTTTTATTACGCCACAATCGCTATCCAGCGCACAACTATGTCATTGTTTTTATGATGTCCGGTGTGGTCAGTTCTGCCACAGATGTAATGGTCGGAACCGGCCTGATGCTTCGTGTTGTTAGAAGGAGCAAGTGAGTCCAGTGTGGGTGAACAGTGAACTGTTGTAGACAGCAGTGGCCAGGTCAGGGCAGGACAGGGGAGAGATTATGTCATAGAGTTGGTCCAGTTGCAGAGTGGAAAGGAGCCGGGTTCAAGTTGTGAAGGTTTCTTGCGGGTAATTGTTTGCTGCTTGGAGGGATAGGTGTTTGAAGATGAGGAGATTGTGATCAGAGAGAGGAAAGGGGGTGTTTTGTGAGGTTGTAGGGAGTGCAAAGAATGGGAGAAAACAAGGTCTAATGTATTCCCGTCAGAGGGAGTGGAAAACGGCGTCCATTTGTGGTAGAGCAAAGATCAACTCATCCCCTGAAGGGATTCATATACAGATTACCTCCTCCGCTTCCACTTTGCATCTACTTCAATCACTCTCCACCCTTTACTCCCTGAGCTGGGGGGGCTTTGTATCCAATATTCAGAAGATGTTCTACATGACTAAAAACTGCAATCAATGTTACTGCAAAATCAAGCCTCTATGGAAGACAGGAAGTGATGTCAGGTACAGACAGGAAGTGATGTCAGGCATAGACAGGAAGTGATGTCAGGTACAGACAGGAAGTTCCATGAATAAGGAAGTAGAAAGGTGACATTCCTGGATCTGGCAAGCAGAGGAGGTTATACGTAGATGAACCCCTTCAGGGGGAGGAGTTGATGATAATATATTTGCCCCCAAAGCTGGCCTACATGGTTCAGTTTTATCGTTCAGCCAGCGGGATGACCATTAAAAACTGAAGCGAT